TTTGTTCGACATTATTAACTTTCAATTTTTTTTTATGTGGATGTGCTTTGTGGAGAGTAGTACGAGTGTGGTAGACGTCTTTCCTATCATTAAGTCGAGCAGCGATTATTTTAGTGGAATATGTTTAATTCCATTTTCTACAATATTTCTCTCCAGATTAAGACTGACATGAAAATAATTTCAAGAGAATCTTCAGGCAGATCATAGTAGTGGTGTACAAGGTTGTTATGACTGTCCGAATTGGTTATCACTTTCCTCATCGCATAATCAAGTACTTATTATATCAAATATTTGTGTTTTAATAGAAAGGAAGGTGAACAAAAAACACAAAATATTAAGATTCAGTCTAAGTCTTCCAGATTTAATTACGATTTGAGTCTTAACTTCCTTATGTATTTGAGCGAGTTATAATTTTTATGTAAATATGAAATTCTAAACATACCTGATGAGTCCCTTAAGCAAGGACGAAACGTCGTGTCGATGCTTTGAATTTCAACTTTATATTTATTATTATTTAATCACACCCACACCCCACCCTATCATATGGACACTGAACCCATTATTGATTGATTCCTAGGACGTACTCTGTGATCATGTGATATTTGAATGGTAAACACTGTGCGAATATGACATGATCATTTTTCACCTTTCCTTCCCCCCCCCCCCCCCTATTTTCCGAAATTTCTATCTATAAATCACTCTCCATTCTCTTTCTTTTCTCTCTCTCGCATTGAACGGAGAGAGAGAAAATACGAAAATTGGGAAAAAATCTATTTCTCTAATTCACTCTCTCGGACACATCTATAAATAGCCGTGCATGTCCAGCTATTCAGTCATTTTACAATCGTCGATTGCTGAAGTAAGTCGCTTTTATAACTTCTTCCCTTACCATTGCGCTTCCCTTTTTCTATCTTCGTTTTAAACTAGTGTACGCATTTGTCTATCACTTCTTCAGAATTTGGAGAGTGTTCGATACATGTACTTATAGGCTGTACACATGCCCGTAGAGTCCCTTAAGCAAGGACGCAACTAGTCGTGTGATGCTCTCAATCTCAAAAACTCTATTATAATTAAAAATTCTATATTTCTACGGTACTTTAGAATATTTTCCTGTACTTTATTACTCTTAAAAGTACCGAAAATGATAGCCCCAATAAATGGTCAAAACATCGATCATCATAGTCATCCAACAGCTTATACAGAAAAGGTAAATGATTCAAAAAAATTTATTTTTCTGCATAAAACTATTTTCTCTATTGAAGCATCATATTACAAATGGATTCAATAGAAATCAAAGTGATGGTTATAAGAATAATATCGACAAAATGGAATGGAATGACGGGATTGCTTTAAACAATATGAATACAATACCAAAAAAATTGAAAGTTAATAATGTCGAACAAAATCTAAATGAAATTCTTTTTTTTTCTTGGTTGCTTTTAGCCAGTGAAAGAACAAATTTTATCACAAAAATTCACTCAATTATCTATATCAACAAATAATGAAGAGTCAGCAGCATCAGAAGATATTACAGATGAAATTCAAACAATTCCAGACTTTTTAACGAAGCGAAATACATCTTTCAAAGAAATGATAAATCAAGTGATATCAACAATAACACTGGAAACATCCAAAACACCAATAGATGAATTAAGAAAAATAGCCATTTTAATATATAAAATAATGTTCGTTCAAACAAATTATTCACTATGGAGCACATATTTTAAATCAGGTGTCGGGCAACTCATCATTCAATCGGAAAAACCATTAAACTATTCTACAAATTCACCTATCTGGCCAAAAGCTATTAAAATATTAATACAAGAATCAACAAAAATCAATACAATAAATGAAAATCAGATTTGTATGAATTTAGTCAACATTAAATTATGTGAACTAGACAATCAATTAAAACAATATCAGGCCGAATTGAATAAGATTAGAAATGGTTTTTATGGTTATACATTACAACATCAACATTTAATTGAAAGATATATTGAACAAAATATGTCTTCTTTACGTATGGAAATTGAACATAAAATTGAACTTATTCATTATGATTATCATATTCAAGCATTGAAGCTACAGTATCTTAGACATAATCCAAATAACTATCAAGTACGTGTTCAGTTGAAATAAATCTATTGTTTAATTAAAATTTTCTTTTTTTTTTCTACACTTTTTTAGAAACAACTACTCAAACAACTTTGTCGAAGTAAATATGAACAAGAAATGACAGAACAAGAATTAATTTTTCTTCAACAACAAATAACTTATTATAATTCACCTAGTCAATCATTTGAAAATGCACCTATGGCTCAGTCAACATTAATTAATTCTATTGAAAATCTTCATATTCGACAACAACTATTTAATCAATACAAAGCAATCGCTGAAAATTCAAAAGTTCAATTATCGGCATTGTACATAAAAGCCGCCGAAGAACAACGTGATAAATATAAAAAAAAGTATCATGATGACGTCAAGCAAATATGGTCTGATCGTCATGCAGCAGCTAACCATGAAAAAATACCATTATTGATGATTGAACTTATTAATGAGCGTTGTAAAAAAATTGGTGAAAGTATACAATCTATCTATAAGTTTAAAGTTCAATGTTTTCTTTCAAAACCAAACGTATAAATCTATCAATAAACAAAAGATTTTTTCTTTAGTGATAAACAATATAATTTGTCTATTGGCTAAAGTTCATGTTATTTTTGTCTTTTCTTTTCTGTTTTAGATAAATTTAAAATTAGTTAATTCTTATTTCACACATGGATCTGAACATGAGTCATGCTCCTGCAGATGTTGGTCAACCTACAAATCAAGGACAACGAAGAAAAAAATGCCATGGTAATCGAAAAGATCAACGTTTCCGAAACAAATGTCGTGCAAAAGGTATGAAACAAGAAAAAATAGAAGAATTACTTCAACGAAACAAGGAAATTCGTAAAAAAAAGAAGAATCATGTCAATAAGACAATGCCAAATACAACTGATGAACATGTAGCATCAACAACGACAGCCAAAAATATTTCCAATCGTACAAATGAACCATCGGTACAACGAAATTCGACACCAAATACTAATAAACGTAAACGAAATGTATCATTACAACAGTTAAACTCGAATCCAGCAATACCAAATTCAACCAATTCGTTGTCAATTGTACAACCTTCATTAAAAAAGATGAAAAAGAAAAAGAAAACCACAACAAATAGTCGATCGATGAAATTCTCAAACAATAATACGAAGAAAATTTATTGGTCAGCTTTTTTTAATTTTTTACCTATTTACTGTTTAACAAAATGTTTCTGATTATAGGTCACCTAAATATTTGAAACGATCACCATCTGTAATTATTGAAATGTTAAGTAAAACATTAAATTATACATTGAAAGAAAATAATGAAGAAAAATTTATTTGTGTCCGGCTCAATCTCTTGGATCAATGCTATTTTCTACGATTAGAACAAGAATTATGGAATTCATATCTAGATGTTGGTATACAGCAGCATCTTTGGCCAGTAAGTTACTTTTTCAAATTTTATTTCATGTAGAATCAATCTGCTTAAAAATAAAGGATCGTCTCTATACGATGGCAAAATCAAATGATTTTGAAGTCTGTCACCAATATCTTGTGAATTATATAACTGATCTGAAGAAACAAATCAATCAATGTCAAATAGAACTAATCAAACAATCTCAATTATGTACTTTCACAACATTATCATTGGATCAAATTGATCAAAGTCTCAACGAATTTGTGGATTGTCAGCGAAACTATTTATCTAAGAGAAATAATCGTCAATTAAGCAAATTCAAAGATAATTTTCATGAAAAAGAATTATTTGAAAGTGTAACTAAATATCACTTATCATTTGATCATGTATGTTTATTTGATTTCTCATAGAATTCATATTTTACTTATGTAATCATTTTCATTTAGAATAAATGTATGAATGAATTATTGACAATAAGAGAAAAACAAGGTGAAATTTACGAAGAACTTCTTAAATTTGAAATGCGAATATTATCCAAATTTTTACCGGAAGAATTTGATCATCTACAATATTTCATTGCACCGATGACTTATACACCATTGAACGATGATCAAAAAGCAATTGAACTTAAAAATAATCATCATAAAATTATACAAGAAGCTAAACGTCAATGTCTTACTATTGCTTTACAAGCCTATAATATTAAACTACAAGATTATGAAAAACAATATGAAAATAAATTTCTACAATTGGAATCACAACTTCTATTTAGTACCATGGTTGATGGTTCATCTATTTTCAATCAAATTAAAGAATATATGACTTATAGAACAAATGAATTAAATCAAGATATTTATAAAAAAGTATCGTCTTCTCGACGAATGTTACTTAAAATTCGTCAACGTTCATCGTCATCGAGGAAACACATAATTGGCGTCTCACCTGAAGCCTACCTTGATCTGATATCGAATCCATTCAATACACGTCAATGGAATCATCTTTCACTTGGTAAGATAGTTTCCCCAGAGAAGCTTTCATTTCATTTTCTCTCACAATATTAGGTCCATCTTATATACGATTAAATCAAAGTTCTATTCGTCCTCGATATCAACAAGAAGTTCAAATTGGAAAAGAACATAAAAAAATTAGTGATAAAGTTCAAGATCATCTTATATCACCACCATATTATGTACCTTTAGAATCATCGATTCTAAAAAAATATTCAAATGAACTTCTTAATTACTTTAATCATTCTTATTATGCTCCAATATCATATCAAGATCAACTACGAGCAATAGAGCAAGCTACAACAGCTATATCAATTCGACGCAAACTCGAAAAGTCAAATCTAATTCTTCGTATTACTGATAAGGGTCATAATTTTTATGTTGGCTCAATGATTGAATTCGAGAAAAAAGTACAAAAATTTTTCCAAGATACAAATGCATTTGTAGAATTAACACAAAATCCATTCAATGAAATTTTAAATAAAGTTATTCACTTACTCAATCGACTTCGTGAGAAAAACTTTATTTTAGCTTGGCAATATAAGAAAATGATGCCTGACCGAACAAGATGTGAATTAGCTCATTTGTATTTTAATCCTAAAACACATAAGGTATTCGAGATATTTCTTATAATTTTTAATTTTTTCTTACTATTCTTTTCAAAATTTAGGAAGACATATCAGTTCGACCTATCGAAAATACAATTATGGCTGCAACAACAAATATATCAAATTTCTTAGATGAAATCATACGACCCATATTCGATAGTAAATGTAGTACAACAACCATTATAGATGGTGTTTCTTTAATAAAAGAACTTATCAAATATGCCAAAAGAGGTCTCTTAAAGTCAACCACTCTTTTTTGTACAATTGATATTCGAAATTTATATACGATGTTACCACAAGAAGAAGCATTGAATATACTGGTCGAATTTCTTCATGTACATGGTTATAAGAAAGTCAAAGGTATACCTCTTGATACCATAAGAAAATTAGCTTCTATAGTACTGAAAGAAAATGTATTTGTCTATGATAAAAAAATTTATAAACAAGTTCTTGGTGGTGCTATGGGTTCATCATTTACATTAACATTAGCCAATATATTCATGTGGAAATGGCAAAAAGAATTCGTCCGTCGGCAGGATATGACAGGTGAATTTTATGGCCGGTAAGTACACCATACAATTTAAAAAATCAAATTTTTCATTCAACCTTCTTTATAGATATATCGATGATATTTTCATGACATGGAATAAATCGGAAAAATCATTGAAAGATTTATTACATGAAGCTAACACATGGCATCCAAATATTAAATTAGAATACAAAATAAGTACAAGTCTACCATTTTTGGATGTTCTTCTTACGAATAATGCTGGTACTCTATCAACATCTTTGTATCATAAGCCAGCAGCTGAACCTTATGTTGTACCATATATTTCTGATCATCCTCGACATACATTCGGAAATGTTATACAAACAAGTCTTATACGTGCTATGAGATATTCATCCACCTTTGAAATATTTAATAATGAACAATGCCGTATTAAATTAACTCTATTATTGAATGGGTAAGTGTCTTCGCATATAAATGATATCTTCTAATAGTATATGTTTAGATATCCGTCACCATTTATTGAGAAACAATATAGAAAATTTTTCAGTGATCATATAACATCAACATCATTATTACCATTTATTGATGATGAAAAACAATTTTTTCTTCTACGTAACAAATTACTAGATCAACCAACCTATTTACAATCACAAGCGGCATTAAGTGCAACAACAGCCGATATCGATAATGACCAAGTCGACGAACCACAACATTTACAAACAAAACCTGATGATGACAAGACCAAGAAAACCAAGGATTATGAAAAAAAATTAATCGTACATTACACACACGAAAAACGTTTTCAATCATTGAAACGAGACATGCATCGAGTCTATGACAATGTTTTTAAAGACACACCAGTGAGTGACGTAAAACTTATAGTTGGCAACCGCAACCGTCGAAATGCCAAAAATGACTTGATTCGAAAAAGACCTAAACAATCCTTATTGAAGAATAAAACCAATAAGAGTGAGTAATTCCCCAATAAAAACTACCACATTATATACAAAATTTCATCTCTACATATCTTTTTATTTTAAAAGACCGTTGAAAAAAACAGAGACATCAACACCGACAGCCTCAACACCAAGTAGAAGAGACCAATGACTGATTAAATATCACATCCACCACCAACTGCTCGTCTATCAATACAACCAGAACGAAACAGCAGGCAAAAAAGACAACTCGTATTTCTTCATGTACCTATGAAAGTTAATAAAATATAGTCCTACCCCTTCATAATCATATCAAAACATTGTTATTTGAAAAAAAAATTTCATTCTTTCACTCTACCATTCTTCTGTATTAATTTCAGATTAAAACCAACAAAATTTTAATTGAACAACAACATCAAACAAAATTCAAACACACCACTATAAACAGTGCACTACACAACAAACAAACTCGAAAATCATAACATAAACTGATCGCTATCCCGACGAATGAAACCAAACTGCAATACATATCAAAAAAAACAAAATTAACACTATCAGCAGTCAACCACCGTACTCACTGCTGAAACCATTCTACATCATCATCCAACACAAAAAGACAATCAAGTCGGGTACAACAACATTCAACCGACGAAAGGTAAGAAACCGGTCATGGCAGCTCAGAGATATTGTCTTCTCTTTTTATTCTTCTACTACAAGTTAAGTTTCGACTTCTTGTAGCACTGAAGATACATCTTGTTTTGGATTTTGTTCAAAAAATTCAAAATAGATAAAGCCATCTGAATGAGTCCCTTAGTCCGGACGAAACCGGTCATGGCAGCTCAGAGACATGTAGGAGAGTTATATTTCTACTTAACATCTTCAATCATATATTACATTAGTAATTGATAAGTATTAACTTTAGCACTTATCGAAACCGGTCTTACCAGCTATTGATTGATTCTATTTCATTTATTGAAATCATTCACACCCCACACACCCACACCCCTCTCCGTATTTTTGGAATATTTTCATCGAATGTCGGTGTTTTAGCATCAAGTTTTTTTTAAAAAGAATCGCCTTTCCACGCTCTACAAGATGGCATCCAGTTTTAAAAGGAAAACATCGACTGGTTTTTCTTTAAAATACGATCCAATCAGTAGGTGCGAAGTGAGCAACTTTCAAAGACAACATTTCAGAGTAAGGATAAGAATGGATGTCATTTCTGACACACGTTCGCAAATATCGTTGATACATGAGATGTCTCACTATTTATTGGTGGAACCGTGAANTCGAGACAGTGATTTTTGTAGTGTTGGGTACGATTAACTGTAATGTGACATTTAGGTAACAATTGAAAACATGATAATGACATATCCATGACACCTTGTGTATTTTGAGATTAAAGGTAATGACGTAGTACAAGCCTATCTTAAGGAAAGTAGCCATGTTCTTATTTTGAAACGTTTTTCGAACCACTGCAACCATCTTTTTGATGGCTTTTAAAATGGTAGTTTCTTATTTGCTCTTTTGAAAGTTAAATATTAGTTTAATCACATGTGCTATAAATAGGTGAAATGAACAAATGCATCTGTTATTATTACTCTGTTAAACAGAATTTATTTGTTTCCACGGAAGTGGGGGATAAAGAATGCTGTACAGAATTAAATTACTATATATTCTATGGTGTCAACATATATGCACTGTACAGGATGTTCTGTGCTACGATGACCAATCCCATCTCGATATTTACATAGTTTTCCAGACAAATATTTAAACATATTACGCAACTCTCTAATGACAACTGTAGGCGCTTATGAAAAAAAAGTTAAAACAGTTAGTAGCTACTCAAATACATCTATTTGGTCGAATATTGTATAATAACGACCAGTCCTCATCATTCAATAACGAAGTTTGTTGTTATTGAAATAGGAACGTATCTAATTGAGTCGAAAATAGCAATGCAAAGCGTGAGCTAATTTATCTCTCGTTTGCTTTTTCTCTTTGAACACAATCTGACAATATATTATTAATAATTAAAATCTTATTACATATCATGAGAGTACACGAAAAATTGAAATGAACATCTTATTTCATTGACATGGAGTTCTTGTCTTTTTCAATATCATCATAGAATGTTGTCAAAGATTTCAAAGATGATTGTTATGCGAGCAACTCACACATAACAGGATTCTACACAGGCAATCATACCCCTGTGTATATTTACTCATCAAGGAGTTCAAAATATAAATAAAGTTGTGTTAATTCTAGTCTTTGTAATGGAATGCTCAATTTTAAGATTTGACAAATGATTTGCAAATCCTTCAACAAGATATGGTGATATTACTAGCTTAATTGTTTCATTTATCCTTGCATAAAAACTGACTTACTGTTATTTCAATCTACTTCATGTACATTAAAACTGTTGATTTCCCAATTGGAACTGAATTCTATCAATTGCTTCTATATTGACTGGAAGCTACTCAATGCTTTTGTACTACTCTTTTATTTCTCTGGCATATTATTATCGAGCATATGATTATTCTACTTGATATAGTTAAAAGAGTATCAATAAGCTTGAACCCATTCGTTATTGAATCAAATTACAGACTTAATTCATATGATGAGATCTGTAGTAGGATCGAAATGCCTTATGGTAGCTTCAACATACCCTCACCCATAAGTATTGTCGAATCTTTAAAAGAAGAATTATAGAACATATATATCAAGAATATCAGAGTCAAGAAGTCTAAAGAAATGAAAGATTTATCAATTTTTATATCGATTTTGCGTCGTTGCATACAACAGTAAATGAATTAATCATTCAACCTACACAAACAACAAGGTCTACAATTCTTCCTTAGTATGATAAATATTCAGCATAGGGTTTATTGAAATAGAATTTATACCAGAGTCACAATCAATAATTGCAACGATTGCAATCTTCCTCAACTGGATCCCTTTGTACCATTGAATAGATCAATTACTGTTACCTATTTTCGATTCATCGAATATCATTCAATCATGGTGTAATTTCGATATTACTTTAATGGATTATAGAGATTCTGATTTCTTCATCTATGACAATCTTGATGAAATTTGATTAGTTAATATAAAAGAAGATTTTCATATATGGTACAATAGAATATTCGGATATTTAAATATTCAAATGATCAATGGTCCCTATCAAATGCTATTGCATATACATTTCACGAAAAACTTTATACTGAAAATAGTGATTTTCATGAATGTCTAGCTATCAACGAAAATTGAAGTCGTCAACAAGTCTACAACTACATAAAAAAGATCAGGTGAGTCATAAAGTAAAAATTAATCTATGTTTACTATTTGTCAAGCTCGAAGTATTCTTCATTTTTAGCATGGATAGAAGTTTTTCACGGTGATCTAATGTATGAACTGGGGAATTCAATTAGTTTGTCTCTGCATTAAATAAGTGTGAAAAATGATTCTGCTTTCTGATTCATGTCAACTTTCCAGCTTTTATTTACAATAATAATTATCTTGCATTTTCTATGGTAGATACATACATCTCTAGCCCTGAACAGTACTATCTTGTAAAAGATACGAAAAGCATCGGCGAAATTAACACTGCATTTTCTTTCATTATTTTAATTGAAGCATATTCATTTATATTTATTCAATTTTAATTTTATTTTCGACAGGAAATCAATTGCTGAAAAGCAAGCGTTGAGACTAGCGGATAGAACTCGTCTTTTCATTAAGAGATAGGTCAATCTATTTTCAATCGAATGCAATGTTTTCCCGATATCGACGAGATGTCGAACAATTCTGTATTGATAATCCTTTCGTAAACTAGTATATATGTAACTGGGTGATCAGTGAAGTCCATCTCTGAATACAAACAAGGGATATGGAACACCCTAGATGTCGCTAATATACGGTGACCACTACCCATTCACCGATTTCTTTCTCAGTAATCAATTTCAATATATATACCCCAACCGATACACATAGTTATGTGATATTCGTATCACATGGAATTTTACTGCAATCGTTTGCAGCATAAACCCGACGATGAGACTTAAGGTCAAGTCAAAACTCGTTCTGGTACTCTATATCACCACTGTCGGTGAATAATTAACACACTTTTATTTTTGATCCCATATAGGATCATTTCTAACCGTGTATACAACTAAACCGTCTCATGCCACCGTTAAGCAAGATCGAAACCAGTCGTGAGTATCACTTGATTTATCTAACAAATTCAATTATATATACGCGGTATATTCTGGAAGCTAGTGTGATGTCTAATATATCTTTCTTTCTTTTATCTCAAAAGTTAGCAAATTAGAAAATATTAGTCGTCATTTACGAAAACTCGTGAAAAATTTGTTGAAACTCTCGTTTTCCCTGAAACTTTTATATAACTTTTATCCTCCAGTAATTTGATCGCCCACAGTAAAACTAGCTACATGTCAAACTTCACACTTGAATTCAATAATTCAATGGTTGAACTTCAACTATTCAATTATTCATCTAAGACGAACCACTAACACAATGGATCACCACACATTAACACGCACATACACCACATCACATACTGTGGGTGCGGCACATGACTGGCAGAGTACATCATTTAGATATTAATAATAACTGAATAATTTAAACAGCTTTTGAATTATTCAAATCAAGTTTCAACTTTGCCACTACTGGCACTCAATCTTGAAAATCTTCTATAATAAAATAATATTACTCCGGATTTTGTTATTACGAATTAGTTCTAAACTACTTCAAAGTACTGGAGCGTTGGAAATTCTTATGTAATAATAGATTGTAAGCATGCCTGATGATAAACCCTTAAGCAAGGACGAAACTAGTCGTGTGATGCTCTGAATTTTAAATCTTATCTTCTATTTTATTGAAAATATTTGATAGGAGTTATTATGTACTGAGTCTTAACTTCTCAGATTTATCTGATTGAGTTTTGATTCTACATGTAATAATAAATTCTAAACATGCCCGTAGAGTCCCTTAAGCAAGGACGAAACTAGTCGTGTGATGCTCTGAATTTTAAATCTTATCTTCTATTTTATTTCAAAATAGTATTCTTCTATTAGACTTAGTATTATGCTAAGTTTAACACAGAAGATTCATCTTGTTTTGGATTTGTATGAATCCAGAATAGATTAAGCCATCTGATGAGTCCTCTAGTCAGGACGAAACCGGTCATGGCAGCTCAATCACAACTACTCCAAGTTGCAAAAAAACTTTCAAGGTTTTATACTCAAACGAGTAATTTTCGCTTCTTCTATAAATTGACAAGCCTTTGTCGTTAGCTTCTACACAGCTTGCATGTTTCTACACGCATATGCTTATAGATGGTGAGAATAAACATCGAGTCCTTTGAACAAAGTCGAACACGGTCATGGGAGGCTCAACTATATTTCGTATCACAATTTCTGCTTCTATTTGCATATCCTTCAAAACTCTGCTCTTATAAGACATAGTAGAAGACAACTTAATTAAATTACGTAATTCATTAACATATTTTAAGCATATTGATGAGCATTCTTAAGCAAGGTCAAAACGTGTCGTGTCGATTCTTTCAATAAAAAACTTCTCAATAATAATATAATAGTGTGATGTCCTCGATCTCAGAATCTTTTATAATTAAATATAATGAAAGAAATATATTAAGGTTCGACGCACAACAAAATAGCAAAAGTAAAAAAACACAAGTCGAATTTATTTTAGTTTTGTCAATCGTAATGTTGCAATTGTGGAAAAGTAATTGATTGAGGGAAAACAAAAGATCTATGTATGAGAGATGAAAATGTTTTGCTTTGCGCTTAAGAATCATCAGCACTCAGCGTCTAGATTGAATAATTCATCGAAATGGTATTGTTCTGAAAAAAAGTATTCATTGTCCGTCAATTCATAGATACTTCCAAATGTATACAAGCTTACTTTCCTAGTATTTCTTAGTTATTTACGCTATTATACCAACGCACAGACCTAGTATTCATATTAACGGAGAAGAAGCTGTGAGCTGCTTTTTCAAAAAATCAAATAAAAAAAAACTAAGATTAAAAGCAAAGGCTGATATCAATGGAACAAAACTATACACACATAAATCTTTTTTTCATTTCCTGTTAGAGACAAACCATAAAAGAAACTTATTGTTTCATTTTCTGATAGACAAATCATAACAAAATCATTTTATTTCAAATGGATTATCAATGGACAGCTGCATGAAACCAGCAATACGCTACAACATAAGCGCAAGAGACAAACTGGAATAGTACCAAGAAATCAATACGTGCACCAAAAAACAAAACATCTTTCACAATATAACAAATAAAAACGAAAAGCGATAGAATGCCAAGATATAAAACCAAGTTTCGACTAGTATTAGCACATAGGGGGGGGGGGGGGGGGGGGGGAGAGAGAGGAGACGAAGGAGAGTGTGAGAAGTGGACAAGAGAAAAAAAAGAATTGAGCATCGACGCATAAACGTAGAT